ATGCGAAGGATGCTGACGCTCGGACCCTCCCTTCCTCCCCTGGACCCTAGGAATTTTCCCCCAGCCCATCTCGATTTGTCCCATGTTTGCACTTTTGTGCATGTCATTGACGTCTAGGGTTGGGGCCCTTTCCGGCGTTGTTCCTTAATTCCGCTGAATTGTCATGAATGTTTAGGGAAAAAAATCACGCAACGCACGCACGCACGCACCAACACAGACATTCTCTTTTTGCATGTGAAGGGGTGTGCGGTTTCAGTACACAACCCCCCCCCTCGAAGTCATGCGATTATCTGGCTGTCTTTTTGCGGCAGTGCCCGGCTGTTTTCTTTTTTTGATTTCGGCGTGCCGGGCGAAAAAGACGGCGTGTAACAGGGTGGGTCAAAATGCCGTTCCGGGCGGCGCGTTCGGTGGTTCTTTTTCTTTGCTTTTGTTTTGGTTTTTGGTGTTATACGCACATGGTACTAACCTAGTACTACTGCTTACTACGTTTGGGGCCTAGAATTGCAGCACCCACGTTTTCGCTAAGTTACCAAACTAGTGCAAAAGGGAAGAACTTCGGGCAGAAAATGGGCGGTTGAGGACACGAATAAGGCATTTGGCCGGTCCTACTTGTGTATTGTAAATCTCGGAGGCTTGTTTTGTTTTTTGTGGTATCTTGTCCGTCTTGTTGGGTATTTTGCTGTAGGCCATGGTTTGGCGAGAACCTCGGGGCGCGGACATGGTTGCTGGTAAGGACATTGTCCGAGGAGCACTACAACGTCGCATGTCTACGCGATGCAACGATATTTTTTCTTCTCCCTAGCAAGATGCAACTACATTACGGAACGCATGCTGCTTCGTTCCGATGTCGTTTGTCGCAAAAGGCATGACGTGCGTGTATGACTCGCTAGCAAGTACTCATTGTCTTTCCTCTTTGCATTTTCTTTTATTCTTGCTGCAGCAAAGGACCATGTGTGGGTGGGGACTATGCGGCTGTGGTGCGAAGAAGGATTCGGAGCCCGGCGCTTGTGAGGTGAGCATCCATGTCAAAGCAACCATGTAACGCTCATCTCGCAATGGCATTTGCCCGAGGTCCCGGGCGGGACGCTTGGCGAGTTGATGGGGTTTGGCTGCGAGGGAGGGGGGAGGGGGGGGGGAGACTAGTGCAAGGGCAGAGGGCGTAGTGGGATGTCATGGTTGGGCGGATGAATGGGTGAGGGGCTATCAGATTGAACAGGCAGAGTACCGGGTATGCACAGCCCGACTTTGTTTGACCGATGCAGACATCTTGCTCAGAACGGTGGATTATGGATATCCGCGGCGAGCGCGGTGCTAATGGAAATTAGACGTCTGTCTACGACATAGCGATGACCGTATCGAGATGATAGCAAAGCTCAGGTACATGTCTTCTCACTCCGAAGTCGCCAAGAGATACGGCCAAGCTTAGTGTCCTCGAGACACCATCGAGAAACCAAGAGGATAAGATCGGCCAAGAGGACACCACCACTGCCATTGTCTTGCCCATGCTACGGGAGAAACCATTGCCAGACTAGCATATCCCTACGTACGTACGTACGTACGCGTAGCTATGCAGTCACTGGGGAAGAGAAAATCTCAAACGACCTTACCCGTAGTACCACCCTGATCGACCTAGCTCTTCTTCCAGAAACCTTCTACGAACGAACCACGCTTCCCCTCTCTTTCGCCGCTTGTTAGCCGGCCTATTCGACCAAGCGGGCTCTTCTCCACAAACTTCTAGCTGGTTTCTTGCCTTCCATTATGCTCCACTCACACACACTCGCACTCACGCCAAAAGCATAGATCCGCTGCTATTATCCCCTTTGCGCATGACCTACACACGCGCGCTATATGTTGATGCTGCAGTCTTTGCGGTGATCCACTGATGGCTTGTAATCGTCGGCCGGGGAGGGTATATGAGGATTCGCCTAAGAACGCCATGTTACAGACAGAAAGAAAAGAGAAGCCATGTGGAATGAAGAAGCGGCTGAAAGGGAAAAGATGACACCACATGGGTAGCTAGTCTTGACTCCACACTTTGATGCTCTTACCCCAGACTAGGATGAGCCAGAGGTGCATGTTAATTTCGGCTTCTGAGGCTCAGGAACCGCGGGGTTGCTGGGCTGAGGCAGGCAAAAGACTTGGTTACGTGCATGCGTTATTGCATGCGGGCTTGCATTAGTTTGAACTTTGAGGGGGGTTGCCCTGGTGCTACCTCATGTCACGGGGGCAGGAGCAGCATCAGTTAGTGGCCTTGTTTTGTTGTTGCTGGTACCGATGTCGTTGCGCATGCTACTTACATGGGAGATTACTTGATGGGTAAAGTGGATAGAACAACGCAAGGACCACGGCGAATTGGAAAACAAGATCAGTACCAAAAATGCCTGGACAGGCAGTCATGGACATATCTTTTCTTCTTTGGGCCTCACATCTGCCGGGCCCGGGTGTTCGAGCGCACGGATTCAACAGCCGCTTGGAAACTGTGGAGATGTTGTGGACTGGTGGCACAGCAGCATCCGTCAAAACGTGGAGAAGGCGGAATTGAACAAAAAAACACATGCACGCCGTATAGTGCAACGCGATTCTTGCTGCAGTGTACCCGTCTGACCCATTGTTGTTTTCTGCCTCTTCTCGAGTCATATAGTTATGCACACCTGTAATTCCCGTCTTTTGCAAGATCACTGTGCATTATGCGGGGAAGAATACCTGGGGTCGGTGGATAACGTCTTGATAGGCTCGGGCTTGAGCTGCAGGCCAGAGCAGACTAGCAGAGGGACAACGCATGCGCCACAAACATGCCAGTCAGGTATGAATAAGGATGGTGGGCATAAGTCTGGGGGGTGGGGACGCCCCAGAGCAAGGTGGTTGCGTGATGTTCGCTGAGATTCCAGTCTCTTGCGACGGTTGGCGTTCTGGTTGGCATCATCTTAGCTGGGGGGTGTGCATATCGCGAGGAACAGAATGCTAGGTGTGGATCTTAACTGGATTAGAGTTATTAACGGCTGCTACTGGCATCACGCACCTCGGAGTGACGAGGTGGTTGCATGCCTCGGTCCAAGAACCAAAGCTAGTAAAGACAGACGGCGGCCAGATCTTAGGCTTAATCCAGGCTGGGCATTGCTAGCGTGGGCAGAATAGGCGGGCGAATTGGGTGATTCGGGTGCGATTTGTCCATGCCAGGATGGTAGTTCGAGAAGGCTCGCGAGTGTGGGCAGGGGTGAGAGGAGGAGTGGTAGCATGGTACATGGTTGTGCCGGGAGAAGGCGGATAGTGCAAGTGGACGAAGCAGGAGCCGTGGGAGGTAAGGCGATGCATGTGATGTGGATGAATTGGCTGACTGGACCTCGCTCAGAGGGCAAACGAGGGTGGCCATGCATTGCTCCCGGTGGCGGTGTGATAGGCGTCGTTTAGAGACAGTCCTAGCAGCTTGTCATTGTGGATTCAAAGCTTGTTAGCCTCGGACACACATTGACGAAGGGCCGAGCCATGATGGCCCAAAGAAATGCAAATGAACAGAGGTTTCAAGTGGGCCCAGGACACAATGACGGACCATAACTCTAGCAAAAGGCCCAGCTAGTGTCATGGTACCTCGTCTCCAGGACACGGACGTGGCGACGCGGTACGCGATTCCGGCTCGAGGCTCGACAGCTACCGTTCATGTTGTGCGGAGCGCATCATGTGGTACTGGTGCTGCAAGCACGAGCGTTGGCTGGTGCCATCCTTGTAGGTGCTGCGTTTGGATGCAGTGGAGGTTGAGCACAGTGGCATACGCGGGGTGCCTTTATTCACGAAGAGTGTCGTGCTGCTTCTGGGCACAGCCACTGGAAAGCTTACTCCAAGTCGGACATGGCGGCAACCAAATTTATTGTCCGTAGGAGATGAAGGATGGGCTCGTGGTGCAGGTACATGGGAGCAAGGCACGCGGCATCGAGGACCAAGGAAGCCGGAACGACGTGCCTGAAGATGAGTAAGGGGCCGTGCCAAAGGGCAAGCGGTTGCGAGCCATGCCGGCTGAATACCCGCTGGTTCGACAGGAACTTTTAGCCACCCATGAGGAGAATGCGGAGTACATATGTACGTGTGCGTGTGTATAGTAGGTATGTACGGCTCAAAGCTGGGGTTGCGAGCACACTGGCCCATTGGCCGCATTTGGCTTTTGGAGAAGGCCATGGGGATCGTCGAGCAATGCAGATGTGCGGGTGGATGGTGGAGGGAAGAGGTGAGCGGGACGCTGGGGGCGTACGACGGTCAGCCCTGCGGGACAATGCTGTTGCAACCGGTCCTTGTTTCCGCACGCGCGGCAGGACCAGCATGACGTGTGGTGGTCGGTTTCCGGATTGGGAGCGGAGTCGACGTCGATGGCTCGCATTGCACAGCAAAAGCGAAAGGCTGGTCACGTGGATGAGAGGGAACGAGGTGGAGTGGAGCGAGGGGAGGGTGTTGTAGCGCTCGGTCCACGGGCGGACAGGGATGTGCAAAGTTTGGTAGCGCTGGCGTCATGATGGTCAAGTGTGTACCTCGACTAGGCGTAGGTGTAAGATGTAGCTGTTGTTGCACTTGTACTAACCTACACCTGCGCCTGTCGGACGGGAAGCGAGATGCAGCGAGGTATTGGAAAAGGCTGACGCGCATGGCCAATGCCAGCCATTGGGCATCCATGCTTTTTGCGGCCAGCAGCTAGCAGCCAGCAGCCAGCGGTTGGCGTGTAGTCGGCGGCGGCGGTAGACTTGGACCTAGTCGAAGTCTGGCAATGCAACAACGGCAGGGCGAAGAAGCAAAAGGGCGGGATGCGATGATGCAGGACAGCAAAAAAAGAAAAGCACTCATGTCCCGCCTGCAGCGCCAAACCCACACACACTTATTCCAACTGCAGCGTTCCCATTACCTATACAGGCACGTATCCGTACGTACGTCAATGTGCCGGCGTCTAGGTAGAACGAAGCAAAAGGCAAGCCAGACAGGGCTCTAGAGATGGTGAGTAGGTGTTGACATGTCGTGTACCAATGGTAAGAGTAAACGCCAAAGGATTGCGAGGCGCTGTTAGTGCCCGAGATGTGGTTCCTCAGCCGTTGGGTTGCGTACGGCGCAGGGCGATCACTGACGGATACGAGGTGACCAGCAGCGGCGAGCGATCTGACGACGGCAGGCTTGCGCCATCGGCCATAAACCTTCTGACTCGAGGCCACCGGGCGGCGGAGCAAGATACGACATGCGGAGGCTGGCACATGTTCAAAACTGGGCTTTCGCCTCAAGATGCAGGCCTAGGGCGCTTTGCTGCCACAGCCGGCGGCTTTTCTGCCTTAGAAGCAGCGAGCAGCGCCTGTTCGCCGAGGTTGGCCAAGCGCCCATGGCCACGCCTGGTATGAGAGGTGGGATTTCCTAGTACTTGCTTGCTGCGACTTGCCAGGTACATGCTCCAGACGGCCAAATTCTGCTCTCCTCTCGCAGCAAGAAACCAAAGGCCCGCACGGCACACGCTGCGACATGCAATCTCCCCCACACCTCCCCCCAGCCTCAACCGCGGGGCAGGACGTGATTGAGCCAAGATTGACGGACGAGGCAGAAATGCCAGCGCAGTCATGCCGAGCCATCTCTGTCCTCGCCGTTGCACCCCTGCCAGGCCATGTTCGTCTTGTTCATGGCCGCCCGGCCAATCGCGTGCGCGCCTCCAAGCCAACACCCTTCCCGGCCCAAGACGTGTACCAAGTATAAGAGTACCACCAAAAGTCCTTCTCTCCACCAGCTTGGTGCATCTCGACCTCGGCCTCCTGGGTTTCAAGAAGCGCCGCGTTCGGGAGCTGTTTATGCCACGACAGTGCTCCTGCCGTGTTACTGAGGCCTGCCAGACCCGCAAGCCCGGTAGAGGCAATGGCACTACAGGCCAAGTTGCATGACAGTACTCTGGTACCTACTGTCGGCTCCTGTGCTAGCCGGCCGTCTCACTGTGGCACGTAACTTTATTTCCCACGCCCATAGTTTGCATCTTTGTCCCTCACAACCACTGCACTCCGCATTTCCGCACTCCACACTCTGCACGTAATGCGTAGAGGATAGAGTACCAAGTGCCCTTGCTGACTGTCCAAGAGACTAGGCCGCCACGTGCTTCACCTCGGCTGCCTTAGTCAGCCCACAACACCTGTGCGCCAATTTGATGCTAGTACAATCTCGATTCCACCTATTACGCCCCTGTCAGCTGTACGAACGACCGCAAGTAGAGGCAAAGTACCAGTTTGGCCGTGAGCAGACCGAACACATGTTCAAGGGGCGAACTAGTACTAGTCAAGTACTACAACAATAACACAACCACTAGCTCGCGCTTCGTATCGCTTCGTATCGGTACTTCCTGCTCTTCCTATTCGTGAATACCACGACATATTTCCAGTCGACCAGCCACGACCCGCATATCTATACGCCAGATGTTTGACTCGTCATCAGAGTCAATCCGTATTTACATCTGTGCATCTGAATCCGTATTCTAGGCAGGCAGGCAGGCAGCAGCGACATAGTAGCACAGCGCCTGATAGCTGGCGACAAGAGGGGCAAGCAAATGCGTCGTGGCCACAACACAAGAGCTGACCTCACATGATGCCGGAGTTAACCGGACTTGTCCTTTCACGTGAATGTCTGTTTTTTTTTCATATTCAGGCGTCATTGTGCATGGGCCGCGATACAAGACGTCAGTACTCCTCCAGTCACCAATGTTTTTGCAGCCTACCGTCGCGGGGTCATTTGCTGTAGCCTTTGTATGACTGGTCAGGCCTCCATGTCGTCGTGACCATTGCAGTGCTGCCTGTTGCTCCTCTCCTCCACGCCCGCCAGCGCCACTGCCCAATTGTGCGACCTGGCGTTTGCGGAGCACACGTTGGCAGACCACCAGCAAAAGTCGCACTGCGGGGGAAAACCAAAAGAGCAATGTCCATGCTAAACAACGCTTCTCATTGAGGTATCCGTCTTTCGAAACAGCAAACAGGTCTCAGCACAGTACGTACTGGGTAAGTACATTTGTATGTATATGTACGTACATATGTGCTTGGTCGGCGTTGTGGCGAGGCAGAGTGGGAGGAGAGGCGACACTACTATGGCATGCCATTATCCATCCCCCCCGCCTGCCTTATCGGATGCATCAAGACACAAATGCTCGTGCTGCCCGCCAGGGCGCCTCAACAACAGTCCTGTCAATCCAATACTGCAATGACAATGTCGTGACTCTTCAACAGCAAGCACATGCAGAGATGCAGTCACAGCAAACCGCCATTTGGACGTGGTGGGCGCAGGTGTTGGGGCTGACGTTCAAGGGCTCGGCTAGGCCAACATCCTTGTTGCGGCTTAGCCTGGCACTCAAACAATTTTCGAAAGAGCCCAACCACCGTCCCTCTTCACACCCGTCTCTCCATAGCGAGAACATCTACCAACTCGACACGCAGCGGACTCGGTGATCATCACAAGAGCCGCTTGCTTGCTGGTTTCACGAATTTATTCGTCGAAGTCCATCCCCCCCCCCCAAATCCGGACACGGAAATCCTGTCGAGACTCCTTCTTCATTGAAGCGCTCGGACAGCCTCCAACGCCCTGTGTAAAGGAGTTGACCTCTGCCCTTTGCCTCATCCAAAGACACTCTTTTCTGCTCCGCCCCGAGTCGCTGTCGCCAGCAACTCATTAATACCGCAGAACCCACCCCCGCCACCCTCGCTCGAATCTGGGATTCCAGCGACAACGTCATCCGGCAATATCCATCAACCCATTGTCCTGCCCGCCGACCGCATCCTCATCCCCGCTTCTCCCACCGCCATCACCGAGTCCATGAGTAATTCCATCTCCAACTCGCAGACCCCGCCCATCGCCGCTTCCTCGACTACGACCGCGAACAACTCCTCCTCAGGATCGTCCGCCACCGTGGCCGCTGGATCGGCGCAACCCGCTGCCCGGAGCTCTTACGCAAACGCGACCAAGCCTGCAATCGTGTCTAGCGCAACCCCACCCGTGGCAGTGGGAGCACCTCAGAGCGCGCAGCATGGAAAGAGCTCCTCTGTCTCCCCGGTGAATGGCAACAGTGCCATCAAGCCCGCCATTCCCGCCATGCCCACTATTGTGAGCGGCGGCCCCAACGGCAGTGCCAACGCCCACGAGCGCAAGTCCTCTGTTCAGATCAAGCAGACTCCGCCCGTCGCCACTGCAGGCGGCCCCCCCTCCGGTATCAAGTTCGGATCACTCGCCGCATCCCCAGCGCCTGCCCACGCCTCGCCCGTAGTCCAGGGAAACCTGAACCCCCAGGCACAGAACCCACGCGTTGCCTCTCCAGCACATTCACCCTCACCCATTCCTACACCCATTTCTGGTGGTCCCAAGCCTGACGGTCTGCCCACTCGCCCAAATCTGGTGTTTGGTGGTCAAGGCGGTGAAGGCACCGAGTCAAACGTAAGTCCGCGCTTTGCTTCGGATGCGGCCCCCACCATTTTCAGCCTCACATGCTAACCCACATACAGGCTCGCCCTACCATGCCCCCTCAACCCAACTCGCATTCGCTTCCTCAGGCTCAACATCTGCGCCGCGAATCCTCCCAGTCTGCACACAGCGACATGAGCAATGCAAACATGGGTCGAGGCTACCCTCCTAGCCGCGGCCGTGGTGGGTACCCACAAGGACACTACAACCCACAAATGGCAAACCACTCGCCACAGCCATACCGCTCCATGCCTCAACAAATGGGTCGCGGTATGACCCCGCCATTCCAGCCTCCAGGCCAGATGGCGCAGCGTTCTCCATACACGCAGAACCGCAGCCCCGCTATGACGCCCGCCACTATGCATACGCAACAGCAGTTTGCCAATCCACAGGGCATGCCATATTACCAAGGACAGCCCTATGCTCAGCAGGTGTGTATATCCTCTACCATGTTTAACCCCCCAATTATCTTCTCTGTTTCCTCGTTCCCAGCCCAATTATCTTCTACTGAACCACAAGTCTCCACATTTTTTATTTTCTCATACCGTTGGTCAGCGAATGACGAAGAGCCTTTTTTCAAGCACTCTGTCCATGTTGCCCAACAATTTTTCTCGCTTCTTTCCCAACCCCTCCATCTTTTTCAAACCCCACCATACCGAACTCTCCCTAACCTTTATATCAATATAGGCCATGTACGGCATGCCGCAACCTGGCCTTGATCCGTACAACAACTTCTACCCTCAAGGTCAGGGCTACGGACTACAGCAGTCCATTCACTACCCAGGTGTCCCCGCCAGTCCCGGTCGTGGCCACGCCTTCCCTCCGCAAATGCAGCCGGCTCCTTACGGTGTTGCACCCTACGGCCACCAACCCCAGGCTCAGAGCATGTCCCGTACGCCCTCTAACATGTCGGAGCGCCCCTCGTCTGCTGTTCCGCAGCCATCTACCCCTGCGATGACCAACGTCAATCACATCTCGCACACACACACGCCCAGCATGGGATCGGCGAGCCCAGCACCCACCACAAGCTTCGAGCGTCCAAAGAGGCAAAGCAAGGCCATAGTTATCAAGACTGCCGACGGTGAAGTTGTCGACTTCAACAAGGGCAAGGGCTCATCGCCCGCCCCAACTGCTACCGCATCTGCCCCACCCGCTGCTCCCAGGTCACCAGCCATTGCCGCCACCCCCACTCCTCCTCGCGCACCAAGCGCCTCCGATACCACTCGTGCTGAAGACACTGCCGCTAAGAAGGCTGACTTTGTCAAGCAATTCCAAGAGAAGCTCCGTCTCCAGGAAGAAGCTGAGAAGAAGGCCAAGGAGGCTAGTGAAGACGAGGCAAAGGCTGAGGCCAGCGCTAAGCTTGCTGCCAAGGAAGAGGCAGAGGCCAAGGCTGCCCTCGAGGCTAAGCAGAAGGAGGAAGCTGAAGCTGCCAAGAAGGCTGAGCTCGACGCAGAAGAGAAGAAGCGTAAGGAAGATGAAGAGATGGAGCGCATGATTGCCGAAATGGAGGAAGAAGAGAGGAAGCGTGAAGAGGACGAGAAGCGCTATGCGGAAGAGAAGAGGAAGAAGGCCGAGGCCGAAAAGGCCAACGCTGCTGAGAAGATCAAGCAAGAGGAAGAGCGTCTTCGCAAGCTCGAGCGCGAGGCCGAAGAGGCCGAGGCAGCTCGTGCAGCAGAGACTCCAGAACAAAAGGCTGAACGTGAGGCCAAGGACAAGGAGCTCTTCGCAAGCCTCAAAAAGAACACCATGTTTGGTCCTGGTGCCTCGCAGACTGGGGAACCAGCAGAGCCCGCTCCTGTGGTCGCTCCTGCGCCCTCCAAGACACCAACTGGCACAAAGCCCAAGCCAGCTGCTCTCAAGCTTGAGACCAACAAGTCTGTTGAGCCCGCTCAGCCAACTGCTGGTATGCAAGCACTCAAGACTGCACGCTTCCTCGAGGTCCGCAACGAGATTCAGTACCCACAAGGTGTTTCAAGCCCTAACCCGGCCCTGAACAACAGCAACCGAAGCAAGGGCCGCCAGTACGACAAGGACTTTTTGCTCCAGTTCCAAGATGTCTTCAAGGAGAAGCCTTCTGTTGACTGGGATATGAAGTTGAAGGAGACTGTTGGTGATGAGCCTGCTTCGGCTCGTGGTCCTCCATCGGCTCGCCCTGGCTCCATGATCGGCGGCGGACGACAGCCTTCTCGCGGTGCCGGCGGCGGCGGCGGTGGCATGGGCACATTTGGCCAAGGCGGCTCATTGGGAGGTCGAACACTCCCACCAGGTACGACATCCGAACAGCGTTTCCAGCAAGCCCAAGGTGGACGTGGCTCTATGACGAACCCTCTTGCTCATGTCGTTCTAGGTGGTGGACGTGGTGGCGCATTCCCTATGGCACCCCCGATGGTTCGTACCAGCTCTTACCAGAGCATGCCCCATGGTCCCAACTCTCCTCGTGTTGGAAGCTCTCGTGGTAAGGGAGGCGGTAGTCGCCGCGGTGGTAACAACAACGCTGCTCAAGACGCCAAGGCCATGCCTCTTACTGCTGGTCAGGAGGTTAAGGCCCTCCAACGCTCGCAAACTGGATGGGTTCCTCAATCGATTGTTGCGCCCGCAGCAGCCGCGCCGCCTTCAGGCCACATGCCTCCTGACATGGTACAGCGTAAGGTCAAGGCTGCTCTCAACAAGATGACACCCGACAAGTTCGACAAGATTTCAGACCAGATTCTCGAGATTGCTGGGCAATCCAAGGATGAGACTGACGGCCGCACGCTCCGCCAAGTCATTCAGCTCACGTTCGAGAAGGCCTGTGACGAAAGCCATTGGTCTTCCATGTACGCCAAGTTCTGCAGTCGCATGCTGCAGACTATGAGCACAGAAATCAAGGACGAGAACGTCCGAGACAAGCATGGCAACCCTGTTGTTGGTGGTGCTCTCTTCCGAAAGTACCTTCTCAACCGCTGTCAAGAAGAGTTTGAGCGTGGTTGGGAAGTCAACCTTCCCGACGCTCCCGAGGACGGCAAAGAGGCCAAGCTGCTTTCAGACGAGTACTACGTTGCCGCTGCTGCTAAGCGTAAGGGTCTCGGTCTGATCCAGTTTATCGGAGAGCTGTACAAGCTCGGCATGTTGACGCTACGAATCATGCACGAGTGTGTCCTGAAGCTTCTTGACTTTGAAGGCCTTCCTGACGAGGCCGCCATTGAGAGTTTGGTCAAGCTGCTCCGCACCGTTGGTGCCACCATGGAGTCTGCTGAGGCTGGCCCCAAGATGATCAACATGTACTTTGAGCGTATCGAGAAGGTCATGAACATGGAGGGTCTTCCTTCGCGTATGCACTTCATGTTGCTCGACACTGTTGATCTGCGCAAGGCCGGATGGAAGTCCAAGGACAATCTCAAGGGCCCCAAGACTATTGCCGAGATTCATCAAGAGGCCATGGCCGCTCAGCAGGCTGCCGAGATGGAGCGAACACGTTCGAACCAGCGCGGTGGTGGTGGTCGTCTCCCAATGGGCCGTGGCGATGCCCGTTCATTCTCTGGCGCTGGCATGCAACCGCCTCCCGACACTGGCAGTCGTGTACAGATGGATGACCTCCGCAAGCTCTCCAAGGGCGCCTCTGGCCGCAACCTCAACAATGCCGGAGCGCTTGGTCCGTCTATGCTCGGCAGCCGCAGCGGTAGTGGCCGTCGTGGTCTCGGCCCTAGCATGATGGGTCGTGGTGGTGACGACTCTGGAGCTTCTTCGCGCACTGGTACCCCACCCGTGCAGAAGGAGAAGGACTCGAATGCTCATGCAAATGCTTTCAGGTAAGTTTTTCATATCAGCCAACATGTAAAATTCTGTACTAACATCATGACAGTGCGCTAGCAGCCCTTAGCAACGAAGACGCCGGCGAGGCAGCCTCTTCGTCGCAAGCTCCAGAAGAGAACTCTGCTGAGGCGGAGGCCAAGTCATCCGAGTGATTACCTTTCTTCGTTCAGGCGCGTGACGGTTATACCCCTAGACCATGCCGCACGCGGTAATCTAATCGCTTGTTTCGTTGCATAGACGGGGGCATGTCAGCGCGCATTGTTCTGCATTTTGCAGGGTTTCCTTACTGCAGCTTTTCAAGACTGGTGGATTCCAAAAGTTTCCTTGTTGTCGAGCGCTAGGTCGTTTCCAAACGGGTTTGGGTTCTCAATCTCCCACGGGTGACCTTTACAAAAGCTTCGACTTTTCTTCACGCATGTTTATCACGGCACTACCAAACACGACGGCGTTCCGGATATAAAGAGGGAAGGTGGCCCAAATTGTACGCTTTTCATAAGCGTCATGGGTGGTATCCCGGGGCTCTGATTTTGCACCCCCCGTTTTCCTCAAGTTTTTCATCTTTTTCTGTTACGATGGGCAGGGTTGGACAGGTAGAAGGGATGCCGTTTTCTCCTGTCAATGTCTCTCTTCGATTTCCGCAACCTCGATGTACTTTTCTTCTTTCTTCTTCTCCTCATTCTCACTTGTGTTTTTGCAAACGAAGAGTGAGTAGCTTTATGGTGCGGTGCCGCCGACGATAGCAGACGTTGCTTAGGCATGCAACCTGCGAACCAAAAATGACTTGGGTCACGAGAAGCAGGATTTTATGTGGTTGAACAAAAGGCTAGCATGGAATGACGGAGGATGAAAACTGCTGTGTATTATTTTTCGTTTGCTCTAGTTAGAATGCATTTGTTCTATTCACAGGTTGTGGCCATTGTGTTGATCGTGATGAATGTGGTTGGTGCTGTGTCGAAGGTGCTTATTTTCCACCTGCCAATTGAGTCCAAACTGGGGTCAGGGAATAATCTACTCTATGCAAGCAAAGTGACGTTATGATTTGATTACTACGCAAAGAAGATCGACTGGGTAGTTTGATGAGAAGGGGGGGGGGCGGGAGGGAACGAAAGATATGCAGGGACAAGGGGAAGGAAGGTTACGTCATACCAACCAAACATGAGATCAGCAACCCCCTCCCCTCTTCCGCAACGTTATAAGTGGCCGCTTCCGAGGATTCGTGTTATACACATCTACTACTATTCTGACATAATTTTTTTTCCTGAAACAGATAAACAAAAAGGAAGAAGACGCAATTTCGCAAAAGCGGACAATTCCACATCAAATCAAAAATGGCTGAGCAGAACGAACAGCAGCAGCAGAAGAAAGGTAAGGGGGGTTTTTTTTGAACTAGGGGTGATAGATTGAGGAAGGGAAAGAGGCTGATGAATTGATGTTTTGTAGGCTTTTTTGGAACGGCGGCGAGTGGATTGGGTATGTTCATCTCTCTTTTATCATTCTTCTTCGTTCGCTTCTTCCCCTCCACTCTCATTCCCTCAGTCCACCCAACCCTCCCTCCCTCCCTCCCTTCTGCCTTCCGCCCGCCAAGCTAACAAAAACCACCAGGAAACACCCTCGGCGCCGCAACCAACACCGTCGGAAAGGGTGTCCAGGGTATAACGGATACAACGGGGAATGTAGTTGCGGCTGGTGGGAAGGGGTTGGGGGATGCGGTGACGGGGGTTACGTCTGGTGTTGGGGAGACGACGAAAGGTATGTTTTCATCGAGAGAAGGTGGGGATGAAAAGCTGATATTGAGGTTGTGTAGCTGCTGGCAAGTTTGTGGGGGATACGACAGGAGCTGGGGCAAAGAGTGTGCAGGGGGAGAATAAATGATTTACGAGGGATTGAGGAGGTGATTAACGTGTGGGACTGGAGCTGTTGAAAAGCTTGTTATATCTTTCCTTGTCTACTACTGATCTTACGCTTGTGTCTCTCCCTAAATGAAGAGATAAATTTTTTTTTCTCTTCAAATCTCCATCAATAGATGCTTTGTATCACCTTGCCCCCCACCCCACTTCCAAAACCACATCAGTCCCTATCCAAACACATCTTAGACCCCAAACTCCCCCCTCATCCCCAACCTTAGCAAATCTCTCTCAACAACCTCCCCCTTCCTCGCCATCAAATCCTCCACATCCCAATTCACACTCACAAACCGTCCACTCAACCACCTCGCCTTCTCTTGACACACCCACACCGCCATGCCCCCCACCAACTCGGCGCTATCATTATTGAACAACGAGCGAAACGGTTCCCGCAGCATATCCGTCGCCACCATCCCTGGATGCATGCTTATGGATGTTACGCACGGGTACTCGGCGGCGACGTAGGCGGCGAGGGCGTCGACGGCGAATTTACTTATCAAGTAGCCGCCCACGGCGGGCACGGTGAAGAAGGATTGCCAGGAGGAGAGGGTGAGGATTGTGGCGGGGGTGGAGGTATGTGCCTTTTGCGTTTACTTCCTGGGGTTGGGGTTGGGCTTGTTAGATCCCTTTTTCTCTCTTCTTTGTTTTCTTTTGGGAAAAGGGAAAAAATAAATAAATAGACGTACAAAGTTCTTCCACCATTCGTCGACGTTTGTCTCGTGGAGTTTTGGTCCGTCACCCGTTAGAACGCCGGCGGCGTTGATGAGGATGTCTGCGTGACCAAACTTTTGCTTGATGCTTTCAAAGGCTTTTTCTACGGCTTGAGCGTCGGAGATGTCGACGGCGCAGGTTAATGTTTCGATTTCCGGGTGAGCTTCTTTTACAGAGGCTTCGACGGTGGAGAGTTTGGTGGCGTTGGAGGCGATGAGGACCATGCCTTTGACTCCGGCTTTGATGAATGCTGGTACCATTGCCTTTCCATCAAGATTTGTGTCAGTTTCGATCATGGTTGTACAGTATGATGATGCGTAATTTTTTTGGACGTACTGTAGCTCCGATTCCGCGTGAAGCTCCAGTGATGATAACGACTTTGCCTGCTAAGCTGTGCTCTGGGAGACTCGGATCAATCGCTGGATACGCATCTTGATGCGTACGTTTTGTGAATTGCATTGCTTTGACATAGTAGTCTTTTGGGAGGTCACTTAGATTGGGTGCCATTTTTGGATATCGGAATCGAATTGCAAGGTATAAGCAAAGCTGTGATAATCCAGAGGACCGATGTGAAATCTATCAGATGTTTTTTCTTTGACATCCACCCTGCCTTTAAAATACTCTTTGATCATCGCTTTCTCTAACATCTCCACTTGTCGGGCAGGGATGCAACCGCTGATCTTGCATGTCCCACATTGCATCCTGCGTTCTGTTTGTGACAGCTGCCTCGGCGTGCACCGTTTTCAGTGCGGTGCCGCGTCGAGCGGTTGCTCGTTTAAAAAGCCGGCAGGTAGGATGCTGGTTCTGTCCTGTTGGGTGTTAGTGCAGGTGGATCCTTGCGTAGTTACAGAACCTGAGCGGGCGCAGGTGGCCTAATGTATTCAAAGGTCTGCTTGTGCGTTTTGATTCCATCCACAAGCTATTCATCCGGGGATATCATGTTTTCATTTTGAGATAGCTTCTGTGGAATTAGACATAAACTTCATAGCGATGCTAATGCATTTACAGAAACTTCTTGCAAGTTCGCATCTAGTAAGGCGCGAGGGGAAGAAAGTGTATCGAGAACGATATCGGCTCTACGAAAGTGACCATAACAGTGAACACGTGGAAGGATCTGTCGGAAATAGTCTGGTTTGCAGGTAAAGATGGGTGCTACAGAGCTTCCATATCCCCCAACGGAACACTTTTCTTATTTATAGTATGATCCCTATGTGTAGAAGCAGGACTTGGTGAGAAGTACGTAGTAGTTGGGTATATTCTAATCCTATCGAGTCGAGATATAGCTGCTCTACACTGTACTAACAATGCAAAAGATCCGGGTTTACAAGAATCACAAGAGCCTCACAAATGTCAAACACTCTACCACACGAGCACAGGATTCCTCACAAGCATACGCATGGAGCGCAACTAATATATTCTTCCGCACCGCACACAAGCCTCAAAGGCTGTACGCATCTTCTCTTGTAAATAAACGTTTAGATACCCAGAGTGAACTCAACACCAACGTCAATATCACGTGCCATCTTGACAACCTTTGAGAACTGAACCGACTTCTCAGCAGCACCCTGGAGATCATCGATGGAGAAAATCTTAAGACCAGAGTCGTTGATCTATTACACAAAACATGTTAGCAAGAAATATCCATCTCAAAGTCTGACTTGTTAAAACTTACCAGCTTCTGCGCAGCCTCCATGTTGGTACCCTGCAACCTAGCAATAACAGGAGTCTTGAGGTTCATTTCCTGGACAACCTGGATGAGACCCTTGGCAATGGCGTCACAGCGGACGATACCACCAAAGATGTTGACGAAAATGGCAGTGACCTTGGGGTCGCTGGTGATGAGTTCGAAAGCTTGCCTGATGGCCTCGGGGGTAGCACCGCCACCGACATCCAAGAAGTTAGCGGGCGCACCGCCGTTGAGCTTGATAATGTCCATGGTAGCCATGGCCAGACCGGCACCGTTAACGAGGCAGCCAATATCACCGTCGAGCTTGATGAAGTTAAGACCAACCTTGGCGGCCTTGACCTCGTCGGGGTCTTCCTGGGTAATGTCCCTCCAGTCAAAGACCTCCTTCTGACGGAAGTCGGCGTTGTCGTCAAAGTTGAGCTTGGCATCCATGGCGAGGACCTGGTGGTCGGTAGTCTCAGAGAGGGGGTTGATCTCGATCTGGGTAGCGTCCTTCTCCATGAAAACCTTGTAGAGCTTCTGGATAGTGTCCTTGGCATCCTCGATGCACTGCTCCGAGAAACCAAGCTCGGTCGCAATGTTGCGCGCCATTTCGTCGGTGACGCCCTTGTGAATGTCAATGGGGGTGGTGATGATGGCCTCGGGGTGCTCCTTTGCGACGGTCTCAATGTCCATTCCACCTTGCGACGAAGCGACAATGACGGGGCCTTGGGAAGCGCGGTCCATGAGGATGGCGAGGTAGAACTCACGGCGGGCAAACTTGCGGTCGACAATGAATACGGAGTTGCAGAGCCGGCCGGCGGCTCCAGTTTGCTTGGTGATAAGCTTGTGGCCGATCATCTGCTCGGCAAGGATGGCTGCTTCGCGGGGACTGCATACTGTGTTAAAGAATTGGCCATGGTGTTGCAGTACAATGAGGTAGCATACGAGTAGACAACCCTGACACCGCCCTTGAAGCCGTTGTCAAAGGTTCCCTTTCCACGGCCTCCGGCAAGAACCTGGGCCTTGATGACGGCGTCCTCTCCGCCTGCACACATTAGCCCCAGAACCAAAGTGCCCGTCTACTCTTGCTGGCGCATACCAATTTCCTGGGCAATCTTCTCAGCCTCTGCGCCGCTGGTAGCGACGCCGCCCTTGGGCACACCAATGCCATACTGGGTTTCGTGTTAGATGTCCAGGCCCGCCAAATAGTGGGATATTTCAGCGGAGCACTCGTACCGACTCGAGCAGGGCCGCGGACCTGTATTCGTGGATGGCAAGGCCTCTCCTTTGCTGGATGACGGAGCGCTTCAGTGGTGTTTCCTGGCATTGGTTAGCACTGCATGATCGTTGGTGGGCGGGCGCCAGGTGTGCAAGAGCCTTTTGCAGCTCGTGGGAGAAGCCATTGAGTGTGTACATACAGCAGCAGCGCGAACAGCGCGAGCCAGCGGCCGGGCGCGGGCAAGGTTGTACATGATGTCTGGAGTCGCAGACACACGTTTGGGTATATGGGTGGGGGAGTTTAGAGGGAGGGAAAGCTCTTGATGCACAGCTCCGTTTGATGTCGGCTGCTTCACAGGGCTGTTGCGGACGTCTGCTAGCGTGCCGAGAATGAACCGGGTTCTCAAAAATATCGCGGCCGGGAACTTGGTCGTATTGAGCCCCAAAATCTCAAGCGCCCCTGGATAAGTCCGCGCCGGAAATGTCAAAGAGAAATAACGAGGGCGATGTTATCGCCAATCGGATAAGTCTCCTTGAAGCAAAGGGACAGAAGCTCTTGGCCTCGCTTTACGGGTCGCGGCCAGACTGGGATACGCGGGACAGTGCTGCGACGCCTCAGGATGAGGATGATCAGGATCTCAAACAAAACTACGCTCATGATAGGTGGCACTCCACATGACTGTTTTTCGCAACTGCGCGTGCTAATATTCATGTTCAGAATTGGTCTTGGCGGTATACTTCCAAAGGATGTCGAGAATGGCAGCTTCACCAAGAGGACACTAACGTCGGACGACAAACTGCTGCAGCAGTTGATCGGCAAGAAAAAAGCCAAGGCTCATATCATGGCGAAACAAGAAGCTGCGAGGCCGAGTGCAGCGACCAAAACTCATCAATACAGCAAACCTGCTGTTGCGAAGAAGGAGGTGTCCGATGATGAAGAGGATGGGAGGGCCGCTACTTTCAAGTCAAAGAGAGAGGGTAGGAAGGCGAGGAAGCCGCCCAAAGCTCTGGACAGTGACGACGAGGATGAAGAAACGAGAGCAAAAAGGCTAGCAGCAGGCGCGAAGACTGAAGACCGGGAGATAAAGGAGCTTACCACAGAGACTCCGGTTGAGGATAAGTCGTCTGAAAAAGTGGAAGAGGAGGAAGAAGCAGAACCTGCACCACCAGCTCCTAAGAAAGTAAAAACTAAACCGAAGAGCTTTTTGGATGAAATTCTGGCAGAGCGCTCCAAGAAGAAGAGCAAAAAGAATAAGGCCTAGGGTGTCACTCCAGTGCATTAATAAGGCGTTGTAAACCATAGTCGTTTGATACCCCAATCATTTATCTAATTTTTTGATTATCGACATTTTCTACTCCCGTACAATCAAGCTGGCCATGCCCATTCCCGTGCCTATACATTTGCTCAGCACACCCACCTGCTCCCCACTTCTGCCCATCTCGTGTAGGAGCGTGGCAAGCATCCTGCCACTTGTCGCACCCAGTGGGTGACCTAGTGCAATGGCACCTCCATTAGGATTGATCTTATCCATCTTGTTCTCAAGTCCCAGCTTCCTTATGCAGTACAGCGCTTGGCTCGCAAAAGCTTCGTTGATCTCCCACACATTGACATCTGATGTCTGCAAGCCCGTGTAGTCGAGGAGCTTGGGGATAGCAAGAGCTGGTCCAACTCCCATTTCATCCGGTGTGCAACCCACAACCTGTGTCCCAGCCCACTTTCCAATGATTTGCTTTTCCAGACCGAGAGCCGTGGCTGTCGATCGGCGCATCATGAGTGCTGCACTTGCTCCATCCGAAACTTGACTGCTGTTGCCTGCTGTGCTTGCACCATTCTTGTCAAATGCCGGCTTCATAGTCGCCAATTTCTCCACCGTGGTTCCTGGCCGAATTCCATCATCCTTGGTCACAGTCACCTGCTTTTGGTTTTCCGGCACCTCGGGCTCAATCCACCTTGTAGTGACTGGAACGATCTCATCGTCAAACAATCCGTTCGCTTGCGCCTTCGCAGCCCTGTTTTGCGATTCCGCAGCGAAGGCATCTTGGTCAGCGCGAGTGACGCCATACCGACTCGCCACATTCTCAGATGTAATGCCCATGCTCATAATGCAGTCTCGTGCATCCTTGACCGGGCTGTCCTTCATCTCTGGCCAGAGTTCTGTGGGTATAGCTCTGCTGCCATAGTTGCGCGTCATGCTCTCCATACCTCCTCCAATGCCAATGTCGATTTGGCCAACAGCGATGGAGTTTGCGATTGACGTTATAGCAGATAGACCTGATGCGCAGGCGCGGTTTACGGTGCTGAAGGAAGTTGTCGTAGGAATGCCAACATGGTTTGCGGCCATGCGGCCGGCTTTGGAGCCACCAAGTTCGGCGAGCACGGTGCCCACGCAAACGTCATCTATCTTCGCTGGGTCAAGGTTTGGGAATTTGTTGATGGTGGCTTTGAGGACCTGTCTATCCGTCAGTTCCTGGCACATTGTACAGAGGATAATTGAGGGTGGTGTACCGCTCCCAAGAGTTCGTGGTCATATGCATCGCGCAGACCGCCCTTCTTGGCTCTTGTTACCGGAGTTCGGAGGGCAGAGAGGAAGACGACATCATGTGGATTCTTCTGGAGAATGTTCTTGAGACCTTTTTGCACGAAAGCCATGACGGCAAGATGACTTGTAATGAACCGCTGGAGATGGCGATTGTAGGGTATCAAGATAAAGGAAATGATAACGCAAAACGACACAAGAATCCAGACCAAGTAGAAGAGGCTGTACTATTGCCGCACGAAGAGGCCATGGTTATAGTAGTATGTAAGCTAACCCCAGGCCCGAGGGATTGCGTGGAGCTTCGGCAAGTGACCGCGGAGAAGTTGCGGCAAAGGTCTTTTCCGGCTCACGTGCGACAGCGAACCGCATCGAAGAGATTCGGAACACTGCGATGCGTCACGACGAGTGTTGGCCACAGGATGGCTGCAGAACAATGTCGCCGAACATGTTAGTGCATCAAGCCGATACAAACAAAAGATAATTACTTGCGGTCATGCCCCTGTAATGATGTAACTATAACTATTGCAATGTTTTTTTATTTCATTTGTAATTCGCATTGTCATCTGCCAAAGTCCCCGAGATGCCAAAGAGATTCCCCGCCTGTTTCCACACCCTCAAACTTTATGCAGCACTCTACACTTTGTCCCAAGTCTCAACAGTGGGAACCAATCCACCGAGCGCAGTTGGCTGCCTATGCAGCGGGGTATACCAGACGGAAAACATCGTTGAGAACAAACCAGCTGCCATTGTCGTTCTTAAGCTGGAATGCCTGGGTGAAGCTCATTGGCTTTTCTTCGCCCCCAATCTATCAAGAGTCAGTAGAAGTTTTGTGTTATAGATAAAATCTACCCACCATGAGCGCGCCCGTAACAAGAACCATGATGCCATCTTCGGCGGAAGGCTGAGCATCAATTGTATCTGTGCGATGTTGTATCTGCTGGAAAGGCAGGTTCTTGCAAGAGTCAGCTTTGTCTTTCCCTGTCGGGTAGAGTTGTTGTTACCTGGAGTTTCTCTACAATGGCAGCAGATCCCTGGGTTGGCGTCTGCTCAAAGGTGAGCATGGAAGGCTCTCTCTGTGAATTTTGTGAGCCGGAGGTCGTTGCACGCGCTTAGATCGGATCGCATACGTATAGGGAAGCGAGACCGGCGCGGTTTTTATCGAAGGTTTCATAGTAGAACTGGACAAACTGCTCTGGCGCAAGGGTCAATCCTGGTCTGACTGGAGGAGCCCAAGAGACAAAACCGATAGACTTCAGTCTGCCTCAAGTGAACGGGCGGTACATACGGGCGATGGCGTTGAAGTCGGCTGTACAAAGTCAGTCTCAATCGTTCTGGCTGTTTCCCTCTCAAGAGCGGAAACGCATAGCTACACAGCATCAGAGAGCTGGTGACCAAGCGCAAGCCAGCAGGTATCTATCCGCAACAATGTTGTCCTGTATGAGGAAACGACTCGACACCTGGTGCCAAAGGCGCATCGAGGCAGGGTGGATGGCGGGGTAGAAGCGGCAGACTTACACATGACTGCGAGCTTTTGAGAGCTACGGTATTCGGATCGATAGGGTGATGAAGTTTTCAACAGATGGTCTGGTACGCGACAGCGGCGGAGGAGTGATTTGGCAATGTCACAAAGGCGTGTTGGGAGCTTTTGCTGTCACAGCCCGCGTTCGCTGGGCTTCGGTGGTGGGGCAAGCCCTGCCTAATCTTGGAAGCCGTCGGCCCGACGTTTCGCCGGGCCTTCTAATTTCTTCGAAGCTCTGCATCGCGTTCCCTCCTCCCTTCATCGCTGGTCAACGCCCGAGAACGTCGTCCTTCAAGCGGGACAACGTGGGTAGTGATGCAGCGAGATAACTCACAGGTAAGCTCTCTCAGATTTCCCTTACAACTTTGCATTATGATGATCATCATCAAACGATAACTTCCGAGTCAACGACGGTGAAGTCTAAAAACAAGATCAAGCTCAACAGGCTGATTTGCTCATTCAAAACTCACATTGTTCATTATTAAGTCGAATGGTGTACTAACATGCCATTGTCTAGTTTGAGATACATACAACCAACGCCGACGCGCTCATGCAGATGCGCAACGTAGATAGTTCACGTAGCCAATCGAAGATGCTTTCAACAGCTCCCACATGACCTTCCAAGCAATATTTCTAATCTACAACCCCTTCTTCTGGAATGACTTGATAGTATCGACTATAGATTGCTCAAAGGTCTTGTACTTCAAGCCAACGACGTCAATGGACCGCTTGTTGTTGAATTTATACAATCCCTTGTCGGGGGTACCTTCTGGGTAGTCGCCGCCAGGCGTTGAGTCGCTGGGCAAGTCCTTGAACTCTGGGAAGTTCTTCTTGATGATCTGGCACATTTCCTTGTTGGAAAAGTATCCAGCTATGACAAAGAAGCGCTTGTTGGCCGCCTCAGTCTTCTCCATCGCGGCCACGTGTGCCTCTGCAACATCACGTACGTCTACCCAAAAGTGCACGCCGGAAATGGGAATTTCGTCCTTAAACTTGCCTTGGACGGCGGCGAGAATGCGCTGGTTGGATGTGTTCATGTTGTCGAGGCTCTCAAGAGGGTGTACCTTGATCATTGTTAACGATGTCATGTGAATAACGGGGTTTTCTGGGACTTACGATTGGGCCGTACACCATTGGCGGGTTGATCGTAGAGAGGGTGAAATTTGGCTTCTCCTTTTCTACAAATTCCCAGGCTGCCTTCTCTGCAAAGGTCTTACTTGCTCGGTATCCTGCGACTGCATCTTTGAGTGCATCTTCTAGCGTCATGGGATTCCAGTCTTCCTCTGAGTATTCGTGTCCTGGCCAAAAGCCCTTGGATGGATTCACAATAGCGGCAAAAGACGATGTGATGACGACTTGCTTTACGGTTGGCGCATTCTTCTTGATGGACTTCAAGATGCCCGTGGTTCCAATGACGGCGGGGTCGAGTAAGTCCTGTCTTGTTAGCGAGTTCTCCAACACCAGCCAAGGGCGGTAGTATGCACTCACTTTCTGGACATCCGTAACATTAAAGTGGAACGGGCTGGCAGTGTGGAGTACAGCCTCGAATGGAGGGTCTGAAACAACGGCCTGGTCAAAAGCATCTGGCTGTGCGATATCTGGGACAATGGCAAAGTCCAGCTGGCCCTTTTCAACATGGCTCTTGTACGACTCTTTGATCTTATCTGCCTTGTCTTGCGTGCGCACAGTGGTCACAACGCTGTGGCCGTGGTCCAACAAGACATCAAGAGTGTGCGCGGCAATGAAACCGCTGCCTCCGGTCAATAGAACTCGCGTCATTTCGATGATATAGAGGGAATTAGTACGATTGGGTCAGTAGGCGTCCAGATGCTAATCCACAGGTCGAGTGTCGTGGCAGCATGTGTATCTATGTCTTATGTAGCTCTTATACCCCAGCTAGCGCGGGGCAGTATTGTACCGAGTGTCGCGATTACATAGCAGGCCTAGTCCCCTCACCGGCTGCAATGGCAGCGTCACGGCTGATAAAGTCATGCTGTCAGTCTGAGTGATCGTGGTGCCATTGCGTCATCAGCGATGCGACACCTTTGGTGGGGCATACTGCGTCTTCGTGTCACCCTCCCGAGGTACTGCGAACAACTGCTGGTTGGAAGCTTCACGCCGTTTGGGCTTCCCAAACGGACTGTGGACTTCCCAGTAGACTCCGCAGCACAGCCAGATTTTCATTGTAGAGTGGTTATGATTGCCCTTGTGAGTACGTGCTCCGGAGCAGACGTCGTGTGCCAACAAATCAGACGTTGAGTCCGGGAGCCGGATACAAGCTTTGTTTGCAGTCAGTGTTGGGACCGGACCAGTGTAGAGTTTCTGTCAGGCTGATTGAGTGGGCGTGTAAGTATGTATAAGCGTATCCAGGCTCATTGTGTGGAACGTCAGACGGCGGTCCAAGGCACATTGCCCGTACGGACCATCGTTAACTCCGGGCCATGCCTTCCTCATCATATCGGCAAAAGGCCCCACCTGCAACTTGAGATACCTCCCACATAGCCCCCTCCCCCGCCCGCCACTTCATCTCGCCCTTCCAATCCGAACGGCATTCACTGTGCTAGGTGAGACTTAGCCTCGTTTTGCCAACGCTAAATCGGGTATGCTTGCGCTGCCACGGGGTCCAGTAATTCTCGATGAGCGTTGAATGCAGGTCCCCCATGCGGGGCAAGCCGACAAGATGAGGGGCCATTTTTTCGCCAGGCACCTGCTGCCTTCTCATCTCTTGCTCTCTTCTATACCTACGCTATCAGACTAAACATGACATCCCTCAAGAGAAGCCCACCTTTCCGCGCCGAGCACGTCGGCTCATTGCTCCGTCCCCAGGAGCTTGTGCAAAAACGGTACGATGTCGCATCGGGCAAAGCTAAGCCGGACGAGCTTGTGCCTCTGGAGGACAAGTCTGTTGCAGAGGTGGTAAAATTCCAGCAGGATTGCGGGCTCAAGGTCGTCTCGAGCGGCGAGTACACCAGGTCAGTAGCTCTGCATAATGTCAGTCTAGACATGGCCTAACTTTAGAGCCAGGCATATGTTCTGGGGTACCTTTTTTGAAACACTTCACGGCATGAAAGAGCTACAGCTTGGCGTCCTCAAGGGCTACAACAAGGATATGTTTCGCGCTTATGCACCGGACGTCAAGTCGTTTATGGAAGCAAAGGAAGTACCCAACCACGTCACTGTCTGCGTCGACAAGATTAGACACCCTGGAAAATCCAGCAACCAACGAGAAGTTGATCTGATGAAGAGCCTGCTTCCAGAAAGCGAATGGAAGAACATCAAAATCACGCTCATCTCACCATCCTGGTACCATTTCCGTTACATGAATGGCTCAGCCTACCCGAAAGAGGTGTACGCGAATGACGAGGAGTATTTCGACGATGTTGCCAAAGCGTATCAAGAAGAGCTCAAGATCCTTCACTCGCAGGGAATCAGGAATATCCAGATTGACGACCCCAATCTTGCCTATTTTTGCTCTGAAGACATGTTGGCAGGCTGGAAAGCAGACAAGACAAACAGCAAGACGGCCGACGAGATGTTTGACTCGTATGTGAAGTTCTACAATAAGTGCTTCGAGCGGCCCGCAGACATGCATCTCGGCATCCACTTGTGCCGTGGCAACTACGTCGGAAGCCGACATTTCAGTGAAGGCGCATACGATCTTATCGCAAAGAAGCTATTCCAGGTACTGCAGTACCCACAATCCATGGCACGGGTATGCTAACCGAGGCAGGATCTCGACGTTGACACTTACTATCTTGAATACGACACACCTCGCGCCGGAGGTTTTGAGCCGCTAGAGCACCTTCCAAAAGGCAAGAATGTCGTCCTAGGCGTCATCACCTCCAAGTTCCCTAAGCTTGAAGACAAGGACGAAATGATTGCCAGAGTCAATCAGGCTGCGGATTGGATCGCAAAGGGCACTGGCCAGTCACGCGAGGACGCGCTTAAACAATGCTGCGTTAGCCCGCAATGTGGTTTTGCATCACACGCTGAAGGTAATGCATTGGGTTATGAAGACATGAGGAAGAAATTGCAGCTTGTCAGGAGCATCGCGGATGCCGTGTGGCCCGGGGAGCCTTAAGCGCTAAGGAAGGGAAAAAGAGGAGTCTAAGACACTTCTGTGGGGGTCTTGACACATGCCGTTAGGGGAAGCAGTGCAGGAGTAGTGAATTCGAACCGAATGCCGAGTTCAACATGGCGTTTGTATGGGTAGTTCTATCGATTTGGGTGGCGGCAAGCGAGTCAGGTTGGTGCATTGTGTGGCAAAGAAGGAGAGGGACAAAAAGAAGACGAAGATGAAGACGACGACGCCTGTTCAACCATTTTGTCGATGTCGCTTACAAAGAATATCATCATCATTGCGGGGCCTGAAATCGGCAACTCGCATAGCCACGTGGTGTACTGGTGCTCATACTCAGTTCATTATCAAGCATAGGTCCAGAGAGTCTACAGTGCACGTTGCAGCTAACCTGACTTTGGTCTTAGTGTCCGTTATCCTTGAGCCGTTACTCCACAAGTTCCTCCCGCTTCGGGGGGGACGTCCGGCAGTCGGGAAATGACCGAGAATAAGGCCATGTTCCTTACAGGGAAAATGTCATTCGTGAACCAGGGGCGCAGCATCGGCGACAAGCACAAAAGGGAAGGTGTGTTCTTGTCGCGGGGAGCACATGTTCACTGTCTCGTATTGTAAGCTAGCAGCATTGTCGAGAGGATACAGTTTTTGTGTGGTTGCTACTGTGTAGAGGAATCTCAAAGTGCTTGCACCGCGCAGCGCTTGGCTCTTGTGGTGGAGCACTTCCCATGCCATTGGAAGCCTTCACTGCACATTGAATCCCTCGGGTATCGCAAGCGGTGGGTGGCGTAGTTCGGACGAAATGCTCCCCTTGCGAACCGTAAATTGCGACCCACAGTGATCCCTACCAGTACCCGCATGATCTACATACAGCCCTTCTTTGTAGGCATTGTCTTGCTGGCCTAGAAGAGACCAAAAACCGCGACTA